ACAGCTCTCGCTGGCTGATTATTAAAGCAGGTGGATGTTTCTGTGGTGTTTATGGCTTGAACCCGCTCATTGGTGCATTGGGAGAGGGGAGCAGACGTGCTGGAGGGGTTGCCCAGGGTTGCTGTGGGGTTTGTGCTGGCACTGCTGTTCTGGTGATGTGTTTGACTGATGGAGAGGGGACAGGAGAGGGGAGCTGACCACTGGAAGTGTCCCTTTCGTCTCATCATCCCTTGGATTAAATGCGCTTGAACCAGATTTAGGTAGCAGCAGAGTTCAGGGCTTGATTCCCGTTTGCTCCCTGACTTGTTCCTCCTGTAAAACCACAAACCAACTCCCTTCTCAAACTAACACATCTGAAAGGTGAGAATGAATCGAACTCTGTATTGCAGACAACGCTTTTTCAGTCCAGATCCCTGCAGCTTGCTCCCTTGCACCCGTTCTCTTCTTTTGAATGATGGCTCATGAATATTTCAGGCACTGGAACCCTTCCAGATGTTTTGGCTTGCAGAGTGAATGCTCACACAGAACAGCCCTGCAGCTCATCCATCAGCCTGGACAGAAACACCCAACGGTCGGGACAGCGGCACCGTACGGAGGAGCCCTTTGGTGTTACCTCGTGTACTGTTGGAGTCCTTTCATGGATGTGGTTCTCTACAGCTTATCGGAAAACACTGCTCAATAGACAGCCTGGAATTCTGTTTATTCAGCTTGGCAAGATAAAGGTCTGAGCAGATGCTGCAAGGATTTAGACTGACATTACCAGGCCGTTTTCAGTATTCATGTGTTGGACACTAAACCAGCCCTTTCTGTGTTCTGTATTGTTTTATCTCAGAAGTTTGGAATCGCTGCATGTTTTTCACTGTGTTAATTTGCCTCAAACCATTTCCTCTCAAAACACTAATCCAAATAGGATTATTACTAATTTATTCATTTTGGAATGACTTTACTGTTCATGAAACATGCAGTAGTGCTTGTTACCTGCTGTCTTGAGGTAATGGCCGGGCATCGTGCCGTTTCTCTCATGTAGGTGTTTCTTTTTTAGTTAGAACCAAGGTGTTTTAAGATTGCAGAGTTCAAAATCTGCTCATAGCAGCCTCTGTTTGTTTTCTTCCCCCACTCTGATTATTTGTTATCATATCAGATATGATAAAACCATAGCTGATTTTGTCCCCCACTCCAATGTTATTATATTGGAACACTGATCTTGTAGACTTTGCAGATTTCTGATTCAGGGAAGTGGGGACTTTGGTGCTATAATCAAACAGCTCTAGTAGCTGTGTTTGGTGAAAGGCATTCTGTAAGATGCTTTTGAAATGAATTTTGCCATCTTCAACCAACCTTTATTTTTTCCTGCCTCTGGTACGTCAAATCTGGGAGAGATTCCCTTGATAGTTTTGGATAAATTAGGAAATGCACTTCTGGTGTTCTGCCCTTTTCTTTAGTTTCATTTACGTAGGCAGAGACTGAGCTGTATTACACTTCTCACCAAAAGCACTTTGGCTTTACTGTATTATTCCTGCAGTCACTTGGTCCAGTTTGGGGAACTTGCAGTGTGCTCCTTTTGACTGGTCCTTCTTAGAAACAATCTTGCAGGCCTCTGGGACCAAAGATTTCCATAAGTCTGATTTACTCTTGAGTCTTTCACATCTATGCTCTATGATAAGGGCTTTGCGTCCTTTTAAGTGTTTCTTTGCTTCTCAATTTTTCTTGTTAGTCTTTCAGTAAACCTCATTCCTACCTTCGTAAGTACAAGCACGTTCTTGTGTTGGGAGTTAATTTTTATGCAGCTGTAAAGAGTAATTTCACCGTTTTTTTCCCTTAGCTTGTTCAGCTGCTTAAACATACATAAAATCACTTGTCCTCTCTCACATGTATCATCACTTAAATTCTCTGGGCTTTATGGGAAAAACAATCACATTTGAATGAAATCACTGCTTCAGGGGAAGCAGTTTCAGAAAGAATTTGAGATAAAAACTCAAAGCTTCTTGGTATAGAATTAATATAGTCTTGTTGAATTAACAAATAATCTAAGTTTACTCTGATGGCGATGAGGATTAGCCACTGAAGACACCCGGGAATATTATGGCCTGAATTCAAAGACAAGGCAGTGGTAGGTTTCTGGCTTCTAAGAGTGGACTTAAGCAGCAGTCATGACACGATTAACCCCGGCATGTTTGGTCATGTGGCATTTCAGGGTATTCTTGCAGTATTTTGAGGTTTACAGCTCTATTTCAGTGCAGAAAACCAGAGTCAGAACTGACCCAGAGACGCATCTACCGAAGTCATCTCCCTCCAAACAAGTTCCTTATGTGATTGAAGGAGAGCAACGTGAGCACCACCAGCATGGGTTTGCCCTCGATGACTGGTTCTAACAGCTGTAGCTCTGAGTGCATCAAATACAAGGAGATAGAAAACCGGCCTCTCCGGCAAACAGTTACATAGCAGAATTCCTGGGCTCCAGAGCACTGAAGCCAAAAGTTTCTTGGCATTCTGGCTGCATTCCTTCTCCAGTATGTGCTCAGAATAACTTGGGACTTTTTGGAGCAGAAGTGGGACAAATGTTTGAATGTAGACATGGACGTTTGTGCTCAGTTTAGCTCTTCAGCTGCAGCTTTGGAAATACAGTAGGTTTTGCTCAAAGTGCTGTATGTTAGTGGGCTTGTAACACTTTCCTCTGATTCAGATAATCCGCAAAGCCTGGCTTGCTTAAACAAAAGCAGATGCTGTTCATTGTTTGTTCATCTTGAACGTTACACTTGCATTGGGAGAGAAGCAAAGTTTTGGTACAAGTTGGCATTGCAGTGTAAATGCATTTGGCTTTTTTTGGTCCTCACTGGTCACTTTGGTTTTGGCTTAGGAAAACGGACCTTAATGGGAGCCATGGTTCAGTGCTGTGCTTTAAATTTTAAGCAATTTTTTGTTCTAACTTTCTTTCAAACTGTATTGTTGTTGCAGCAGATCAGTTCCAAAGTCTGTTTGATATAAAAATGTTTAACATCTCTGTCATCGACATGATTTGTTTTTCCTGTGCCCTTGACCCTTGTTATGCTGATGCTGCTGCTCGTCCCTATCACACTGACAGGTCACAGAGCCTGGGCAGCCAAAGGCTCGGTTGCTGTTGTAACTAACTCTTGAGTTCAGGAGAAGCCCTGGAGTTTTCTAATAAGAAATCTTCCTATTTGCTTCTGTCTGTTTTGTGCATGGAGCAGCCATTTGGCTTTTTCATCTGTTGTGGCACTGAAGCTGTTTCAGGAGCTGTTGAAGTTGCCATAAAATGTGTAGACTGAGATGAGTTCTGAATCAAATTGTTTCTGCTTCAAGGCGTGAATCAGCCAGGGCAGGACAAAAGTACATTTTCCTTAGAGGGGATGAAGTGTTGTCTTTTTCAATATTGTTTTACAAAGTTAGATAAGTATAAATCTAATTTGGCGTAATTTACCTGCAGGAAGTGTCTGTTCCCGTGTAAACAGTAATGTGGCTATAGGGGAATATTCAGAGATACACACAGCTATCCGGAGGGGTGGCATTGCAGTTAAATATTAACAGCCATAAAAGCATATAGCTGTTGGAAATGGTCTGCAGAGGGAAGGCTTTGAGTAAGCATTTTGTGAGGTAGAAACACGCTTCTCCATGTAGTAGGTGGAATCCCTACAGCAGTTACGTGCTCAGTCCTTGTGTACAGCCCTTCCACTTGTATAGCTCTGCTTCTGAATGCCCTGTGCTTACTGAACCTACGTGGTTTCTGTCATTTCTCTGAGGGGTGCAGCCAGCATATCCTACAGGATGTTTTAAAATGGCCTAGGGAGCTGCTAATAGTAATAATGACAGAGTTACCCGGGTTTTGACAGTTGTACTCACTAAAACTATTCTTGGAAGTAATACTACTAAGCAAAACCCTTTGAAACTAGTGTCAAGTAAGGGTGAAGATAATGTGACATATATGGCTGTTTTAACTACTGAGTCAGTGTTCTGTTCAGAGGATTGGATTTTATAACAGCATTCAAGGTTTCCATGCCTAATTCTAGCCCACTAAAAACTAAAATTTTCCAACTCAGCAATACATACTTCATTGTCAGAGCAATCATGAGATGCATGCCATCACTGGCTGCCCTGGAGTGGCTTACTGTTGCTCTGTAATGGACCTTTGTTGTGGTAGGACAAAGACGTATTGATCTATTGCCTATAAAAAGTGGCTTTGGAATATTACTTTATTGTCAGTGAAGTCTCTATGTACTTACAGTTATGTCTTTCCTTACAACACCTGCAGTACAATAAAGATCCATAGTTCCTCGTTGCAGTTGGCTCACTGTAGCATCACGCAGTGGGGATATGAGCAATGAACTGGAAGATGACTTCAATTAATTAGCTATGGCTTGTAGAAGAAGATGTAAAAATTATAATAACCAAGAACAATACAGACATTGGAAAACTGCCATCAGAAGGTGTGGCTGCTCAGGCTGGTGTGATTAACTGCCCTTTCTGGACTGAGAGCAGCTGGATCATCCTCAGTGTGAAAGATAACTTATTTTGTTGTCTGAGGACTTGTTTTGGCAGGTTCTGTGAGCAGCTGTTAGAGGCCATGACAAGTAATAAATAGGTTAGTTGACTTCAGAACTGTGCAGATTTCACTGTTACAAACCCCTCCTTATGTCTGCAGCAAAAAGTCATTGGAGGGTACAAGTATTTAAGGAAAAAATCCCAAATCACAAACAACCCCCCCCAAACCACTGCCAAAAGGATGCAGAAATATTCTGAGGATGCTCATTTTTGTGCGTTATATGGAGAAACCTCGAGGGTATCTGGACCAGGTGCATCAGCAGAGGAGTGCTCCTGCAAAGTGGTGCTGGGTTTGACTGGGCTTGTTAGGTCTTTGGGAGAGTTAGTGATGTGAAGGCTCTGCAGGCAGTAACCCCCCTGACTTCTTACTTTAGCCTGTCTTCATTAAAGAGGGTTCAGTAATTGTAAGCAAGTGTAGAGGGCCCAGTCCTACCTTCTAATGAATGGTCTGTTCTCTTCTGCAGGCTGGCAGCGATGGGGAGAGCATAGGAAACTGTCCTTTTTCCCAGAGGCTGTTCATGATCCTTTGGCTGAAGGGAGTCGTGTTCAGTGTCACGACAGTTGACCTGAAGAGGTAAGAAGCAGTTGGTTTATTTGACAGGCAAAATCACAGTGTACTTGGTGTAATAAATGTTTGTTTGTGGCTTCGAACTCTTGCATGGCTTATTTTTGGAAATCAGAAAGAAAATCTGTCTTCTCAAATACCAGGAGGCAACGTCGATGTAAATGGTGCATGCGCAGATGGTCGCTTGTATCTGTAACCAAGAGAGTGGGTCTGATAAACTCTCTTGTTTGCTATGGTGCTCTGGTGTGAAACTAACAGCAGCTATGAAGTCTCTTAGAACTGGATCCTGCTGACTTCCCATTGAGATCCTGCAAGTGAAGACTGTTGGATGGGTATTTGAGATCAACCAATCTTTGATCAAATCTCCAATGAGTCTTATGATAACTGCCATCAATAACGTGCAGCCTACTCCCCTTTTTAAAGGTTTTAAAATAATACTGCTTATTATGCAGCAAGAACAACAACAACGTGAAAATATCTGTCCAGGAGGTAAATATGAGTGAAATAAAGTGAAATGGGTAGGAACAAAAGGTAAATATTCTGCCTTTGCGTAGCGTAGCCAGATACATCATGATGCCATGTGGCACCTAAATGGCAATTTCTCCATCTATGAAATGAATACCTTGGTGGATGAGAAGGGGGAAACGTGAATCCAGGAGTCTTAATTCCCTGAGGTTGGGTGCGCTTTTATTAGAAGTGGTGAAATGCTGAATTCAGCAGGGGCCTTGTGTTTGGTTTTGGTGTGTGAAGTCATGTTTTCGGAGCACTAATGTCATGTTAGTCACGGAACTCTGTGGAGAGAGGAGGGACTGCCAGTGCTCACAGACCTTGTTTTGAGAAAGAAAGCCAATGGCAATACTCCGTGTTCTCCAGGGGAGCAAGTGTAAAAGGTGTCAGGAGGAAATCAATCACCCTGCCTGGCTTAACCTCTTCTTGCCACTTTTTTGAAGGAGGTGACTTGTTCTGATGTTTTTAAATCACTGCAGTTGCTGCTTCAGTGCTGGCCACCAGTGTTAAGTGTTTCCATATGTTGTAAGGCTGAGGCAGACCACTCAGAAGGGGAGGAAGCAGCTTTTGTTGACTCTGTGCAGCACAGAGATCTCTGGCCAAGGTGGGATTTTACTGCAAATGTAATTGCTGCTGCCAGCACACATGAACCAACTGTATCTTCCATTTAGCACTGCCTGTGGTTTGGGGAAGCCTCGGAGGAGAACTTGTGCTTGGGTTCTGCTTGTAGCTTGGGCTTCCTTTACAACGATGGTGTTATTTAACTTGCTGCAGTTATTGGGGCGGGGGGGTGTGACAAGGTTGAAAGACACATTTTATACTTGGGAGCATTTTTACTGCTGAAACAGTTTGAGAGATACCATTAAAATGCCAAAGATGCCTGATCGAGTTGCCTTTATTTGTGTCCCTTTGGCAACTTGGAATTAAGCTGGATGGGGGAGTGGGATGCAAGACTAACTTTTAGAATATAAATTGATTGCAGATGCTTAAAATAGTCTTTTCTTGCACAAGGAAAGCTTTTTTCCCCATTTTTTTTAATATTGGGGAAGGGAAAACACAAAATAAGTGCAAAATAGGTGCTAAATGTGCCTTAATACTTCTAATGCTGTCACAAGAAACTATTCTTACAAGTGAATTATTCAAGCCAATCGCCCTCTCTTCTTTTTGTTCTTGATACAGACACAGACTTGTTGAGGAGAGGGTAGTAATGGCTTTAAGCAGCTGAATTAATTTCACTTGCAAACCATGCTTTTGCCTTCCAGCCCAACTTGTGCCCAGCAGTGAGGCAAGCTCTGTCTTTTGTGAGGCTTAAAAGGTCCCGGTTGGGTACAAAAGTTCACAAGTAACTTGGGACACAGGAAAAACTGAGTCTGATCCCACTGACTGTGGTGTGTATTTTTCCTTCCCTAACTGCCTCGGACATCATGCTGTGCTAACAGAAGAACTTTTTCCAGTTCTCAGTTCTACTCCTAAGACCCAAAAATATGTGCATAGGCAAAGGCAGTGGGACGTGCCACCCTTCCAGAGGAATGGTCTGTTTCTTCCTCTGGGTCAGCCACACAGAGGCTTTATTCTTTCCCTTTCCAGAAGCAGCGTCTCAGTGCTCAGAGACTGGACTTGTTCAGTGACTTGAGCAGAGTTGCAGTACCTAAATCATTAGTTGGGCTTGTAGCAACATTCAGGGCCAGCTTGTGTTCAGTTAAGTTTTGAAATCCCATTTTAAACATCTTGATGGTGTGGTTTTACAGTTACGTTGACAGACAAAGATTAAGTAAAGAGATGAGTCAATATTACAGACTGCCCAGAGGTGAGCAGCGAAGGATGCTGCCTGGGAACTGGAGACACAGGGGGGTTCATTGCTGGCATTTGTTTCCACATTACACTTGTGGCAGTACTTGTGTAATGTGTAAATCCCTGTAGGGCACACTGCATTTGGGGCTGGCTTTTGTCTGATCATCAAGAAATGATTTGCATGCTGATTGCTGTTCTGGTTTGTGGCAAAGCCATGAAATGTTCCTACCTTACCCCTGGTGCTAAAGAGCCTGCCCACTTCATTAGCTGGTGATAGACAGGTTTAATTACATGGCCCTACCTCCACATGCCCCGGTAACCTGTGGGGCAGGTCCCAGCTGTGTGGAGGGAGCTGTTTGCAGTTTTGGTTATGGGAGTCTGTGGGGTTTGGTTGGTGGGGTTTTTGTTTTGTCTTTTAAGAAAGGTGTCCAGGTTTATCTCTGAATTAAACTTCACAATAATATTTTAAATTGCCTCCTTGTTTGGCTCTTAAGGGGAGTTGTGCCCTTAGACTTTTAAGGACACTCCTGTGTACCCGTGGTGCTCTAAGGGCTGTGACTGGGATGTGGTAAACCAGGGTTTGCTGTTGGTCTGGCAAGAGCAGCGAACTGGAAGTCAAACTGCGTGTTACCCTTGAGCTTGAGCTGTGGGGTGTTCCTCTGCTTTCAGGTAGTTGGACTGGCCTGGCAAGGGGGTTAATAAGATGCTCTGGGATCCTTGAGATGCACTCTGGTTCTTTGGAAAACTTTTTGGTTAGTTCATTAGACTGGTTTGTTTCTGAAATAAAACCTTTCCTTTGATAGTGTTACTGCGGATCCGGTGGTCCTGCCTCTGTTTGTTTTTAACATAACATTCCTTTTGAGGAATTTTATCTAGCCAACAGAGAAATTGGAAGGGAGCCACGATGACTTCCTGTAATTGTTGTGGGTTACAGAGCTGTATTTAAATGAAGTGTTAAGCTACTTAGAGCATTAACCGATGACAGACTTTTAAATCCTAAAAGTAAGAGGGCGATGGCAGCTACGAGTGAGAAATAACTTCTTGGAAGCTTGAAAATGGTTAAATGCTTGTATTAACGAGGCTTGTGTCACCTGGCTAAAGCAGAATGTTTAATGTTAAGTAGGAAAATCAGTTTTCTTACTGTTTCACACACGCTGCCCAGTGCTCCTGTCTCCTCAGTATGCGTTGGCACTACGTGCTGTTGCTGTTCGCCTGCTTAAAGGCTCAGCAGTGGGCAGGAGGTGAATTCTGGCTGGGGATCCTGGGTTTGTAAGGAATTGAGGGCAGTGTTTCTAGAGGATAAACCTATAAACTGTGCTTGGTTAGAGTCTGAGTGCTCTGGTTTGTGTTTGTTCAAACAGTAACAAAGGGGCAACTTTCTCTTGGCAAACTTCCTGCTGGATGAGGAAGCTTCAAGCATCATTTTTAAACATGATGTTTAAACATCTTGTCGGCTTGTCTAGAACCAGATTTTGTGTGCACATAGTAAATGCTTTACACATACTGCTCTCTGTCAGACTTGCTTCTTTCCAGCAAAGCTTTGTGTAAAGGGGGAGGATTATCACTGATCACAGATTATGCTATATATAAACTGTACTGCAGATCTTGGGAAAGAGAGAGCGTGTTGGTGTGCTGGTGTATATATATCCCCCTGCTAGACAATGTTATATCAACTTGAGAAAAAACATAGCCAGAGGTAGGAGGAAGCAGTTGGTCTTAAGCATTTGAGATGAATTGGTATCAAGTGTGTATTCAACCTGCTGATCAAGCTGTAAGCTTGCTTTTAAAAAGAAAACTGGTCCTATGTGTTTAAAACTACAAGGATGTGCAAACCTCAGGTGGTGCTTTTGTGGCTGTAGCAATGGAAGCTGGTCACGGATGTCCCGTGCTTACTTGTGCGTTGTATTTCACCCTAGGAAACCAGCAGACCTTCAAAACCTGGCTCCAGGCACTCATCCGCCCTTCATCACTTATAATGGTGAAGTGAAAACGGATGTGAATAAGATTGAGGAGTTCCTGGAAGATGTTTTGGCTCCACCCAAGTAAGTGTAAAAATGATAATTTGTTCCCTTAGAGTAGAGGGAGTGTTCTCAAAGGGGTTTTCTGCACCAGTTAGGGTGTTCTTCATCATCAGTAAACTGACGACAGACACTGAAAATAGCTCAGTTCTTGCTTGTCAAACCTTTCCTCCCTTCAGTTCCCTCATCTTTACGTTAAAAACTGGTTTCTTTTGCTAGTTGATACGTGATGAACATCATTCTGCTAAGAATGATGTGCTGTAGATCTTCTCCTTTCTACTTTTTAGGTACCTGAAACTTTCACCAAAGCATCCAGAATCCAACACTGCTGGAATGGATATATTTGCCAAATTTTCTGCCTTTATCAAAAATTCCAGACCGGAAGCTAATGAAGGTAGGTTTGGGCAGATACCTGCACATCTTGTGTTTTCCAGAGCAGCTTTACTGTGAGGTGTCTCAATGACAAATCTTCCTTCATTTTGAGGGACACTTGAATCAAACCTGTGGCTTAATGCTCAGAGACAAAGATTTCAACGCTTCCAAAGAGAACTTATTTAGACTGTGTTCAACCACAGTTTCAGCAGGGTGTGAATGGTTTGTCAGTGTCCTGACACTGAAACTTCCTTACACGACAGCCACTCAAAACTCTTGAACTAAGTAGAAGTGATTTTAACACCCAGAACCAAATTCCACGCTGAGTTTTCATCATGCTGCCACAGTGGTGGAGTTGCCAAGCCTTTGCTGTGAGGCCTTTCTGCACCCTTGGGTGTTTGAGGGTTCCCATTCAGAGTTCCGAGTTAAGCATAGTTCATGTTGCTCTATTCAAAGGATTAAGACCTTTCTGTGTGGAGAGAACATAGATGGAAGGAGAGAGATCAATAACAGCTAGAGGATGCACAATTAGACCTTTAAATCGTTTAGTACAGATCTTTTGCTCTTAATGTATGTGGAGGGAAGAGAGTCAGGGAATCGGGATGCTCTTCTACTGTGCTTCAGATGGGGAAATGTTTGTGACCAGCTGAGAAGTAGTTCTGATTCTATGGGGTGTGCTGCCCTCTGGTGCTGGATTCCACACAGCTCCTCGGCAGCCTGTGTCTGCTCCTGGCTGGTGGTGGAGCGTGGGGCATTAAACAGATTATGTGCAAATGAATATAAACCCTGGCAGAGCTTAATTCTAATTAGCTTAAGCCAGTTCGGGATAGTCTTAAGAAACTGACATAAGCCACTTCTTAAACCAAAAATAAACGCTTGTGGACAGTTGTGTGTTAAATTGGTGCAAGCTCATACATAAACCAGCTTCTAAATAACCTGCATCAGAGTGATTTTTCAAGGGATCTAGTTCAGTTTGGGTGCCACTAGTGAGCACAAAGGCGGCTCCAGCAGCAGTGCTGCCACAGAAGCTGCACACTGGTTGAAAGCCTCTCAATGTCTGTGCTGGGTCATGCAGTGACGTGGGGTTTGGTTTTCAGACCTGCTGTTAATACCAGGATTCTAAATTACAATTTGCTTTGACATTTTGAAGTGTCCTGTGGTTTGGCTTTTTTGGTTTTAACACTGTTCCTTCCTCCGTAGCCTTAGAACGTGGCCTCTTGAAAACCCTCCAGAAACTGGACGAGTACCTGAACTCTCCTCTTCCAGATGAGATAGATGAAAATAGCATGGAGGATATAACAGTTTCTACCCGCAAGTTCTTGGATGGCAATGAGATGACACTAGCAGATTGCAACCTGCTACCCAAACTACACATTGTCAAGGTAAATGTTCTATATCTTGTTATGTGACAGTGAAGGACAAAATGCTGATGGTTTATGACATTCTGGAGTCTCATTTGAACTGTTTGTAAGCTCCTGTGTAAGTTTAACTACAGCATTAACAGTGGATGAAATTGCACAAGGTTTGGGTAATTCACCAGGGCTTCAGGGGTAGAGCAGGTGAATCCAGTGGAGGTGTGAACCAGTCATCAGATGATGATATGGCACAAGCCAGAACCTGTTTTACTGCACTGACCAGTGTGGTCGCAGGAGGTTGCAAGGTGTAGAAGAATGAGGCAGAAGAAGGAAGGTGAATGTCATGTTAATGGTTGAAGTGGGCATCTTCTCCCATCTGTAGAGAAAACTGCTCTATTGGCAGCAAAGTAAATGGCACAGTGTGAAATACAAGGATTGGATTTAAAAAAGGAAAGAAGTTGGAAGTCTAGAAAGAGGAAGCTGAGGATAACTGCAGGAGGGAGGATGTGCCTGTGCAGTCCTGGTTGGAGTTCTTTTCACTGTCTCCAGTGATCCTTGTCAGCTCTGTACTGCAGATGGAGCCACAGATTAAGTTTCTACCTGGGTGCAGCAGTGTTTCCTTTGGGAAGGACAGGGATAGAAACCAAGGGAGGCAGGGTGCTGCCAGGTCCAGGCCTCTCCCAGAGGGACGTGTTCTCCTGGCTTGAAGTGGCTATATACCATGTTGAAGGACAACTTAATGAGAGAGTGACAAGGGATGAACAAGTGGTTGAAGATGAAGGATGTAAATTCATAATCTAATTCTTTTGTTCTAGGTGGTGGCCAAAAAATACCGCAACTTTGAGATTCCCAAGGAAATGACAGGGATTTGGAGATACCTGACGAATGCTTACAGCAGGGATGAATTCACCAATACCTGTCCTGGAGACAAAGAAATTGAAATAGCTTACAGTGATGTAGCCAAGAGACTCACCAAGTAAACAGCACTTGCAAAAGAGATGACTTCTTGCATATTCCATAACAAGGCTTCTAACAGACTGCTCTTTTCATATAAGATAGCAATTTTTTTTGCATGAACTTGCAGTTATTCAAAGTTATGGTGGATAGACCAGGTACAGTAATTACCTAAAGTTTGCAGACTTAATTATAGGCTTGTTTTTCCTTACCTCCTTTCAGAGCACGTATGAATATCATTAATGCAGTTATGTTAATATTGCACCAGGGTGACTCTAGGTTCTTCACTATGAAGGGTTCTCTTGCCCCTACTGTTTTCCTTTGCAAACATTTGGTCCCTGTCTATGAATTGGTTTAGGAATCTGTCTGGCTATATGGTACAAGGAATATTTATGTATTTTGGAGTTTATTGCTTTTCCAGAAGGTCTACACACAATTGTCATATCTGACATGTTGAACTGTACCTGCTTGTCTATCTATTCACATAGAGAAGGGAACTTACTGCCCAAAAGAGCCGTTTGCAGAATATTTGGCAATGCTTTTTAACGAAATAAAGAATACTCTTGAATTTGGAATCTCAGCAATGGTTGAAAATAGGCTTAAGTGAGCAACTCGGATTTGAATGACCTCAAGCATGAGGGAAGTTTGAACCTAGGCTGAGTGCTGTCGCAGGAAGCTCATGGTTCAGACTTATTTAGTTGTGTCTTCGAGAGCTTGATGACATTAAAAAACCAAACCAGAAACGTAATTTGTTTTAAAATTGGCTGCTTATACTTGTCTGGAAGAATCTGTTCCCCATAAAACTGCAAGAGGCTTTCTTTTTGGTAGTTAAGGGCCTTCATTTTGTATAGGTCTTTCTGGTGATATTTACTTATAAAATCTGTGCTGTGTAACCCAAGTACCTGTAAACGTTAGTGTTAGTTGCAAATAGCTGCTGTCTGTGGTGAATAGCAGTGCAATGATTAGTGATGGAGACTGAATACTGACAGCCACTGAAGTGGGGTCTTCGGAGAGCTTTGTTAAGCTGTTTCTTTCCTGAAGAAAGCTAAAGTGACCTTTAAAGATAACATTTGCCTTAAATTCTAGTATGCATTTTTTTCCTGAAAGGAAATCTATTAATTACTCTCGTAAAGCAATGGTGTGTGGAACACCATCCTCTCCATGGAATCTATCCTGATTGCTGGTCTGTGCACCTGGACTGCAGTTCTGCATGGTCATAATCATTGCACTACTATACAGAAGCTTTTTACAGCAACACTGAGGAATAGCACTACAATTTTTTTAAACACAATTTTCAAATCTTTCTAAACCAGGGAGTAGTTTTCTTGTTTAGAATTAATGATTTTGATGCATGGAATAAACTGCTAGGTTATTTTTAAAAGACCATCATAAACAACTCCAAAGAACACTAGACTTATATGCCTATTTTTTTGTAAAGATACTTTTGTATTTAACTGATTTTAGAAGCTGGAAAGTGCTATTCCTGGTAGGTTGTCATTGGAATATTTAACATTCTGCAATAACATGGAAATACTCACATAAACACTTTTATACACTAATTTTTTTGGTAAGCACTGGCTTTATGAAAACCAGCCTGACTTTTCTAAGCATCCTGCTTTTGCTACTTTATATACCCATGAAGTTAGTTTGTCGTAGAAGAGGTAGAGTACAAGATCCATATTTGTATACCTGGCTTGTGGTGCCTTGTCTCGCCTTCCTAGAGCTAGAATTCCAATATAAAGGCAGTTAGCAATTCTGTTACGTGTCTTTTGAAGATGACCATAGATACACTTAGACCCTATTAGGATTTATTACAGGTGTGTTTAGGCACAGGAAGACAATTCTGCAGAGTGACCACTGTAGCCTTTTAATGTGTTCTAACGTCACGTTCTCATCCTGAATAAACGTTCTCGGCCATAATAATCCTCTGTAGGGCTTCAGTCTTTGCTACAACGTGACATCTAGAAAGGGAATTATTTCCTTATTTGCTAAGTAACGTTTTTAATGACACATTAGGGTAAAAAAACCCCAACCCAACTCGGCCCTCATTGGTTTGGTGCTCTTTGCCATCGTCTAGTTAACCTTTAAAACCGAGAACATAGGAAGCAATGTGATTGTGGCATATCATTGTGAAGCTTAAAACTGTAAATCCTAGATCAGGATGGCCCTTGGAAGTTGTCCGAGGCTGTGGGGATTGGGCCTTACTCCTTTGAAAAGCAAAGCAGCCCTTGTGTGCACATTGCAGACACCAGGAGTTGTGTGTGTGAGCGTGAAACGCTTCCATGCCTGTTGCGGTGCTCACACTGCCTGCATGTCAATGCAGACACTTCCCTTGTTGAATACCAGGCTTGTTGTCTCTTATAGATAATATATTCTCTCTACTTTTTAGGCAATCTTCAAACAATTGTAATACCTTGCGTTCGGCATTAAGTAATTAATGATTGTGTCTGAAAGCTTGTAAACAAAGTTAAAGCTCTCGCTGTAACTAATGTATTTCTTATCTCAGTACAATGGAGTATTGAGCGTCGGGGCCTTTCCCTTGTAGGTGGAATTCAAATGAGGACCAGGTTCGTGATTGAGGCGGTTACCACATGAGAGCTCTTAACTGTCCTGTGTGAAAGGAGTCGGTGCCTTGTAGCTTCCTGCTGCAGTTGTGTGTGTTGTGGCAGGGGCAGCCAGCCTCTTGCTGGCTTCAGCAGGGGCCGGGGCTCCCGGGGGAGCAGCTCCCACCTCTGTAGGTGATCCCTGAAGGAGCAGAGTGTAGCTGGGGTGGTGTGGCACAGGCTCAGCGTCTGGTGTGGGCAGAGCACTTTCATCTGGCCCCAATCACCAGCGCTACGTTAATTAAAAAAGCCCTTTCATAACTATGTAAATTCTTGACTTCTGTCAACTTGTTTACAATCTGATCTTTAAATGCATTTTTAATTTCATCAAACAGCAATTAATCTACCCCCTGTTTAAATTTAAAATGATGCTTCTAGCCCCTTCTGCAATTTAAAAACAGCAGTTACCCTTTCAAGTAGGCATTCCAGTTTGCAAGTTGGCTGCATGTATTAGCATGCTGAATAACTTACTTTATTCTCAAGCTGAAATATGCTTAAATTCCCATTAAAACAGGTGACTTGTGTATTTCCTGAACATAAAGGGAAAATCCATCGTCGTCACCCTGGTTTTGTGTGGGAGAACGGATTATAGTCTATGCATGGGGTTTTTTTTCTTCTTAACAAAGCTTCCCTTCTCGACGAGGTTGCTTATGTGTGAACTCCTGAAGCCATTTCATGCACTCCAGAGCTCTTCTGTGCTGCTGCTGTTGGCTGCTGTCTGTAAGTGTCCCTCACGGACAGCCACAGCCCCTCTCCTACCTTTGTATTTTCCCATCAAATTGGTGTTTTTTCCGCAAGGGGCATGTCCAAACTGATTGAGAGTTGCTGCAGCTCCATGATAAGAAGAGAGATGTAATCAAGTTCTTATGCTAAAGTAGCAAATTAGCATTTCGTATCAAAGGAGCACAGACATGAATAAATTGAAGATGCTTGAGCCAAACCCACTGATGCCTATCTCAGTGTAGAACAAAAAGTGGCTAAGTACAGTCAACTTCTCTTTACTCTTTGCCACTCAGAGCACTATCTGAACACATCAATTAATATTTTCACAAGAAGGCTTTATCCCCAGTGAAAACTATTTCATCTGCCTCAGAAGCTGTGCCACCAGCTATTACATTTTGTTTCTGGAGGGGATGGGGGCTGGGAGAACAGGGGAGCAGAACAGCGTATGAGCCTCCTGAGACAGGACATCAGCATTGGAGCGTTGTTTGCAGAAATACTTGAAGAGTTGATACAATTTGTTGTAGTTTGCTTTTGTCTTTCACTCTCTGGAACATCTTTTACAGATATACCAGTTTACTGCTGGCAGCTATTGTTAAATAAAATTATATTTTCACTACCAAGCAGATCTTTCTCTTATTTCCCAAGCCTGCAGTTCTTGCCTGTGTAAGCTCTGACCTGACTGTGGTGTGCTGAACCACAGAGCACAACTTTGCAGAAACTACAGTCCCAAGTTTTGGACTTCTGGTTTTTTTCAGTGGTGGTGTGATTTAAGGCAGAACGTGTTGTTTCTATCATTCTAACTAGTTGTTGTGCTCTTAAGAGCTTTCTTAAAATTAAGAACAAGTTGAGAAATAACGACTTCTCTACAGAAATGATGCGTGTTTCAGCCGTGTTTCCCACTGTCTTTGCTTTCAGGTGTGTCTCACGCAGCTGAGTAATCACCTGTACAAGGATTACCCTGCTCTTAATGGGTGTTAACCAGGTCCTAGGTCTGCAGAGCAAAGCCCACCAGCCACTGGTGCAAGTTTACTTCAAAACTTCCTGAGCATTATCGTGTCAATCTCTGTCTTCTGAGTCTGAGGAGTATCTGGGGTCTGATTTGTGGAATCCAGCAGACATTCCTGGAGCCTGTAATCTGGGATGCTTTCATCTGGGTTTGAGTGTGTGCAGGAAAGTAATAGACGTGTTTGTAGCTAATCCAGCAATTAAACCCTTGGTGGGATTACAGACTTGTACCACTGTGTGCTGTTACTGACTGTGGGGTTTGTGATCAAGGTGGGTTTTGCAGTCACCTTGCTGGAATTTGGTCACATACTTCCACGAAACGCAATGGGGTGGACCTGAAGGTGGTCCAACACCCTCTTCATGTGAAGAGCACGCTGAAAGGGAATGGTGTTGAGCTGTGAAGATGGTGCCAGTCTCCTGCATGGCAAAGGCACTGGTTGTAGGATATGTGAAATATATTTTGCATAGTTATGATTCGCTGTGAGAGCTGCTTTTGACTGGCTGGTAACCTTGATATGTTTGTTAGATTCTGTTTCTAAGACATCTCAGGTGACTGCTCAGCCTGGCATGGACGGTTCCTCCTGGATGTCCTAGCAAGAAACAACTGGATTTTGGCTTCAGTGGAAGCTGTGGAGCCCACTTCCAAATGGTTCTGTGTAGCTGCTGCCTGTGGGCAATGGGAAGCATGTAAAAGCTTGAGGGGGGGCAGGTGAGGCTGAACGTTTCGTCCTTGTTTCTGGCCACTACATTCGCCCTGTTCTCAGGGACAGCTCTGATCTGAATAACCTGGACCTTGGCGTGAATCCAGGTTTCATAGCTCTGCCTTGCCTCTCCAAAAATGTGGCCACATTCCCGAG